GGGGGTACTCCCTATAATGACCTATACGGAGGCAGCGTGGCCGAGTGGTCAGCTCGTTGGACTCGCAATCCGGCGGTCCCGGGTTCGAGTCCCGGCGCTCTGGCCACTTGCTGGATTTTTTTACGGTAGTTCCGAGTTCAATTCCTCGGCCACGCTTGTAAATTAAATAGCCCGAAAGGGGTGCCCTTCTCAGGCTTCAGATATATGAAAGGGTAGGGAAATCTGTCGTGTTGGTCTGTAAAAAGGCCCCAAAGGGCCAACAGATGCATGTTATGGCTGTGAAAAAGTCGTGAAAACGTTCAGGCTTTGTGTTTTATTCACATTCAAATGACAGTGCATTTACAGCAGTTAAAAGGGATGCAACGTTCTAAACAAGGTATGTGAAAGGGGTACCATTTGTGACATTTGTCAATGGAAGGTATATGAAAAAGTACCTTTTCTGTAACTACCCTAATTGTCTTCAGCGATTTCAAAATTAGAGAGTACTTTAACACATCCCAATTCCCAACCGAATAACTTAATACTAAGTACATGGACTGTTTATAGTTTAATGCTACGTTAACTGTTTATTTGTTTGAATTAAAAGTATCATTACTGGTAATAAATGAAACTAATATTTGATTTCCTGTTATCGATGACCACATACGTTTTTTCCTACCAGAGAGCCTTCATTCGCACTTCTCACGATGGCACCCTCTGGAATTGAACGAATTGATAATTTTCAAGGTAAAAAACAGTTTGAAAACCGCCTACATCCGAATGACATTAAATTATCAGAAGCCATGGCAACCTCAGCAGCTGCTGTTTCATTCCACATGGGTCAGTATGAGAGTGAAGTTGATCCAGTTCAAAGCTTACAGATCATTTTTGGATTAGGAATGGGAAAATCCATAGTCGCTGAGCCCCAGCGGTGTCCAGGATCAACCTTGGTAAATTTACTTTGCTCATTATCTTTATTATTATCATCTTCATCAATAATATCGTTGCTATTATCACCCCGAACGTAGTTAATCCATAAAAATCGATATCGGAAATCATTCGATATCATCGATATTAATCGATTTAATCCGCCGATTAATATCGATTGATATCGGAAATCGATAGAAATCGAAGTCACAAAAAAATAATTTATCGATTGTTATCGATTAACAAAATCGATAACATTCGATAGGAATCGAAAGTAATCGATAAAAAATCATTATCGATTTCTATTGGAAAATCATGAATAATAATCGAGGTCACAACTTTTTTCTCTATCGATTTCTATCGATCGATATCAGAAGTTATTATTATCGATTATCGGTTTATCGATTAACTATGTCTGGCATCAACATTTTTGTTGTCTTTGTCTTCATCATCATAATGCATCGAACAAGTCCAGCTAAACTATTTCTCCTCGGGCCAAACCCCGGGCATTAGCATTTCCCCCCCTGTTAATTAAGCTGCACCCCTCATCCGCGTGACATCTCCCCGGCAACAACGAGGTTCACAACGCCTAAAGCCCGTCCAGCCACGGCCCCACACCCACAACAGCCCGTCTCGGCGCGACGCACACCTGCGCG